TATTGTACGTCGATGATATGTTGATCTTCGGCAAGAGTGCTTCTAGAATTAATCAACTAAAGGAACGATTGAGCAAGTCTTTTGCTATGAAAGACTTGGGGCCAGCAAAACAGATTCTTGGGATAAGAATTACACGAGACAGGAATACCAGAAAGTTGTGGTTGTCTCAAGAGAATTACATTAAGAAAATACTTTCTAGGTTTAACATGGACAATGCTAAAGCGGTTAGTTCTCCTCTTGCTAATCACTTTAAATTAAGCAGTAAGCAAAGTCCTTCTATAGAGGAAGAAAAGGCAAGTATGCAGCAAGTCCCTTACAATTCAGCAGTTGGCAGTTTGATGTATGCTATGGTATGTACAAGACCAGACATTGCTCATGCAGTTGGTGTTGTTAGTAGGTTCCTTTCTAATCCTGGCAAGGAACATTGGATAGCTTTAAAATGGATTTTCAGATATCTTAGAGGTACTTCTAAATTATGCCTATGTTTTGGTTCTAGTAAATCTATGCTAGTTGGATACACAGATGCAGATATGGCATGTGACATTGACTCTAGAAAGTCTACTTCTGGGTATCTTATAACATTTGTAGAAGGAGCAGTATCATAGCAGTCTATGTTACAAAAGTGTGTTGTAATTTCTACCATAGAGGCTGAGTTTATTGCAGCAACTGAAGCTTGTAAAGAGTTTCTTTGGATGAAAAAATTTCTTTAAGAACTCGGGGTCAAACAAGACAAATGTGAGTTGTTTTGTGATAGTCAGAGTGTTATACACCTTGGTAAGGATTCCTCTTTCCATTCAAGATCGAAACATATCGATGTAAGATATCACTAGATAAGAGATGTTTTGGAGATGAACCAGTTACAACTTGTAAAGATCCATACAGATGAAAATGGGTCTGATATGTTAACAAAGACATTACCAAGGGAATAGCTTGAGATCTGTTGTTCAGCTGCAGGGATGCAAGTCCCTCCCACATTGGCGTGAGGGGGAGTTTATTGCTAGATGGTCCCACCAATGCGGGTAGAGTGGTAAACAAAAGCTTAACAAGTAAGCTTGGAAGAGGAAGTGAATGGTTTAACAAATAAATTTTGATTAATATCTCCATTGATGGCCACTTAATGGAAGATTGAAGAGGGCAAATGAAAAGTCAAATAGTTGGTTTTGTAAAGCGCATATAAAGGCCATGGATTTGGCTACCTTGGACATGAGAGAGTTCAAGAAGAAGAAAAAGAGAGGAGAGAAAATTGTGTGAGATACACAAGTGTGAGAAAATTAGTCGAGAAGAAGTTGGTGGATTTCGTAGAAATTCTTGTGCCTCGGGTATGTTATTTTCTCTTATATTGTGTTGCCTCTAATCGTTGAATTAGAGAAGTCTCCTCTGTTGTACCATTATCTATATAGTGGAGGTGTTACTAGCTTGTGCCCGTGATTTTTTACTCCTTGCCTTGAGGAGGTTTTTCTACGTTAAAAATATTGGTGTTCTTCTTGGTGTTGTTTATTTATTTTTCTTGTGCTAATTATATATTCTTGTGTGTTTTATTCCCAACAAATTTTAAAATTTACGCGTTAGAAGTGTTGAACACATGACGAAAATGTCAATTTGACAAGTTAATTTTAATGAGCTGTATAATTGGAGTATATATTTTGACATTATCAAAATGGAGAAATTGTTAAGAACTATTTATAATAGATTTTGATGATACCAAATATACTAGGAAATTAGGTTATCAACTCTTTTTCAATTTTTTAGGCTTAGAAACTTTTCTATAACACCCCAAATTATAAACCTGAATATTCAATAAAAGGGCATTTATTTATTTAAAAGATGAAATTCGAATGTGAAAGCAAAGTAATATTATGAAATACACGGGTGCTACAGGCAGGCAAATTATGCTGTGCATCCGTATGCACCATGCATGGTGCATACAGATGCAAACGACGTCGTTTTGGAGTAACGGTGCCGCCTTCCGTCCTTTTTTTTTTTAAAAAAAAATCCGTTAACGGCGTTATGTTTCCATTCGCTATCCAAGTTTCCATTTCGGTTTTTGGCAGTTAGGCATTTTGGAATTCGCATTCAAAGTCTGTGCAATCGCAATCGCAATCGCAATTGTAATCTGATTTCGTATATTGACTGTTAGATGGAGGAGGCAACAGATCAGACAGATTCAGCAGTTGATGGATTGCATTCAATTCCAGGTGATTTGCATTTTGCGATTGTTTTTGCATTTGTTCCTTTGCGATTTTTATGGTTTTGAGATCTCTTGCGATTAATTTCAGTATGTTTTATTGATGTTTGTGTTTAGAATTTGCCATTTAGTTTGACTAGTATTTGCGCTCGTGCGATGCACAGAATGAATTTGTTGCAATATATTCAGAATATTTGTATCGATATATAATTATTTAAATTAGAACATCAAATATTATATAGTGCAATTGAATGTATGATTTGGATCGTTTATGTGTTTTTATGTTATTAATTCCTCAAATTAATAGCTAATATGTAGATGTACGCAAGCGTTGCTGTAACTTTAGAGATTTTATTTATCATTGTTCAGTATTTTTATAAATTAGGCAAATGTGCTCGTTCTCTAGCAACTCTTTTTTTTTAAAGTCAACCTGGCGGTTGTATTTATAGAAGAGTTAAAATAGAGTCTGGTGGAACATTGTCCCAGTACATAGCAGTAGCGAAACTAAGTGCTGAAGTAGCTAATGTATGAGCTAATAAATTCTGTAATCTAGGAATATAAATTACTGAACAATAAGTAAAGGTAGATATATAGGTTCTGCAACTATCGATAGCATAACCTAAATACGAGCATGATGTGGCTGGTGGCCCAGATAAGTAACACTGTAGCTGTTGACAATCCGTATGAATCTGTATAAATAGTTCATTCCTCCTTTTAAGCCATGATAATACCTCTTTGCATGCCAATGTCTCGGCCATGAGCGGTGAGTGGCAACCTGTTAACGGGGCGCTGAAAGCAGATATGTAGCGGCCATTGGCATCGAGGAGTACCGCACCAACAGCTACAGCATTGGTTCCTCGATGATAACTCGCGTCCATGTAGCATTTGACGGGTGTCATCATCTCGCCAATCGCGGATTCTGGAGCGGTGGCATGCGGCAGGGGCAGTCCATTCTCGGCAGTTTCGGCGTTCGGTCCAAGCGGCGTCAGTTGTTGCTGTTCGGCAGTAAGGAGGCGGCCGGCCGTTCGGGGTTGTGACGGGGCACGATGGTGAATATCCTTCCATGCTTTCATTGTGACCGCTACAATTGACAATAATTTCGTTGGCCTTGGTAGACAGGCATCCCATACCGCTCCGTTTCGGGCCCTCCAAAGATGGTATAAAATTGCAGCTGCATAAACAATTCCATCAAAGTCTAGAACATTCAAGATTGCATTAAACCATTCATGGAAAATATTTGTGACAATATTGGGGATTGAAAGGTTGGATTTTGCCCAAATGGAGTGTGCATAGTCACACAAAACTAATGCATGCATGGTGTCTTCATTCACATTTCCACACATGGCACACATTGGGTTAACATCCACTCTCTTTATAAGCAAATTGTTGGTGGTAGGAAGGATATCACAAATAGCTCTCCATAGGAATGTCTTCCACTTTGGTGGTATTTTTAATTTCCATAAGGTTAGCCATTCATTAAAAATTCCATTAGAATTATTCTCATAATTCCCCACTATATGCCTGTAACCACTCTTGACTGAATAGCATCCATTAGGATCACCATACCAATACCATATATCATCATACTCAGGGGCAACTGGTATACTCTGAATTCTGGGTATATCACTCGGTTGGAAAATATCGGCCAATATATGTGGATCCCAGGTACCCGTATCTTGATCAATTAATTCTATTACTTTGGCCCCAGACAAATATTGCGGCATTTCCGTGTGAATCATAGGATCCAGTTCATCATGCAGCCAGGGATGCTCCCATATTAAGGTAGAATTCCCATTGCCAATTCGTCTTCTTATGCCACCACATACTAGATCTTTTGCCGCCATGATACTGCGCCAACAAAAACTTGGATTATTTCCTATAGTTGCCTCTAGGAAAGTATCCTTTGGATAATATCTAGCTTTATAAACCTTGGCTACCAATGAGTCTGTGTTAGTGAGCAGCCTCCATGCCTGCTTTCCTAACATTGCCAAATTAACTGCCCTTAAATCTTTAAACCCCAGTCCACCATGTTTCTTTGGGACACACAATTTATCCCAGGCTTTCCAATGTATGCCACGATCCGTACCCGACCCCACCAGTACCGATTCATAATACGTTCAATAGCCGTACAAACAGATATAGGTAGAAGAAAAATACTCATTGAAAAAGTTGGCATTGCCTGAGCCACACTTTTCAACAAAATTTCCTTACCAGCCTGCGTTAACAACCTCTTATTCCAAGATCCAATCCTTTGTTTGATTTTATCCTCTATGTATGCAAATGCAGCCTTTTTGTTTCTTCCCACAAAAGAGGGCAGCCCCAGATATTTCCCAAAGTTGGGGGCTTGTGTAACACCCAGTATTTGTGCCACCATATCTTTATCATTCTGCCCTGTATTCCTGCTATAGCATATGCTGGACTTATGATAGTTTACTCTCTGGCTAGATAAACTCTCATATAACTGTAAACAATTTTTTACTTTAGATGCTTCCTGTCTATTTGCTCTGAAAAACAGTAGGCTGTCATCTGCAAAAAATAAATGAGAGATCGGTGGTGCACCTCTAGCAACCCTGCAACCATGTATTAAGCCTCTATTCTGTGCCTGTTGCAATAGTACTGAGAGCCCCTCCGTGCATATGATAAACAAATACGGAGATAATGGGTCTCCCTGGCGGAGGCCACGCGTGGATGTAATGGAAGAACTGCGAGCGCCATTTATCATAAAGCTATACGACACAGTGGTCACGCACATCATAAGTAACTCAACCCATCTATTATCAAAGCCCGGAGCTAACAACATCCCACGGAGGAAGGGTCATTCCATGCGGTCATAAGCTTTGGCCATATCAAGTTTGAGTGCACTCCATCCTACTGCCCCGCACTGTTTCCTATTCAAGTAATGCCCTACTTCCGCAGCTACAAGAATATTATCAGTAATCAGCCTGTCTGGAATAAAAGCACTCTGGGAGCCAGATATTATATTCTCCATTAATGGTTTCATTCTCTGCGTAATCATCTTAGCCATTATCCTGTATATCACATTGCTCAATGCTATCGGGCGAAAATCTGCTACCACTTCAGGGGTTTTCTTTTTCGGGATGAGTACCACATCTGTATCATTCAAGTTGGAGGGGAAAACTCGATTGTTAAGGCAATTCACTATAAACGCCGAAACATCGCTACCAACTATATCCCAGAAATGTTGATAAAATCCCGGGTTCATACCATCTGGTCCAGGAGCTTTGTCAGGGGCCATCGCAAATATGGCATCTTTAACCTCAAATACCTCAAAGGGACGTAATAATGACTCATTCTGATTCTGGGTTACACGGGGGGATACTCCAGAAAATAAATTGTGACCATTCATTGGATTACAGGAAGAAAAGATATGGCTAAAATAATCCAAAATAATCGTACTCATAGCACCTCCTTCCACCCAATCCCCATTATCATTCATAAGTTTATAAATAGTATTTTTCTTCTTACGATGAGAGGCGTACCTGTGATAGAATTTCGTATTAGCATCTGCATTCTTTAACCAGTGTTGCTTGGCTCTTTGCCTCCAGTAAGCATCTTCTTGGATCTCTATATTACTCAGAATTCCTTCCAAGCGCTGGAATTCATTCAAGGATGCCAAATCAGTACGACCCCTAAGATGTAATTGCTGTTTTCGCAGGTGTCTCATTTTTTCACCAAACTTATGATACCGGTCTCCGCCCCATCTGGACAATCTGTTCCCACAGTGTGTTATACAGTCCTGCATCCCTTCACTCCTCCCCTCCTCCCATGACTTCTCCACCACATTCCTGCATCCATCATCATATAACCAGGCCATTTCGAACCGAAACCCCCTCCTTCCTCCTCCTCCGTTTTGGAAAATTCCATGGACACTCAAAAACAATGCAGAATGATCAGATTTCCTCATCAGATTATTAACCACCCTAGCCCCAGGCACAATCTCACGCCAATCATTAGATGCTAATACCTTATCCAAACGTTCTTCAATGCAGGCTGGCGTACCCTTTCCTTTTTCCCAAGTAAAATGGTAACCCTCCATAAGCAACTGAGTTAAGCCACACTGGTCAATAGTCTCCCCAAAGCCGCGTAGGAGATTAGTAGGGTGAGGATTACCTCCTCTCTTCTCGTGCTGAAATAGGAGATCATTAAAATCTGCAATCATAACCCATGGTAAGGTGGACCGGGGTGCAAAGGATTTTATCAACTCCCATGCTTCTGCCCTCCTATGGCGCTGAAAATAGCCATAATAACATGTCATTCTCCACCTCGGAGAGCTGGACATTTTTACCTCAATATCAATGTGATTTTTAGAGTAACTCAATAGACTTGCCGTATTATTCTTCCGCCACAGCAATGCTAAACCACCACCACCCTGCGGTGTCGGATCAACATAAAAAAGACCATCAAAACCAAGGGTGACACGAATTCTTTCAGCATGTATTCGTTGCACCATGGTTTCCATAAGAAAAATAAAATCAGGCTTCTTCTGGGACGCAAGGTCCGTTAATTCTCGAACTGTTCGTGGATTGCCCAAGCCACGACAGTTCCATCTGATAGTACTCATAATGACGGGCGGGTCTGGGAACCAGCACCCGCCACGGACAAGTTTTTTTGGATCTCTGTCATAACCACATCCCCACCAACACTCACATTGCCCCCATCATTCAACTCAGCCCTTCTTCGTTTGCTTGCAGCCGTGACCATGTCACCTTCCACTTGCTCCCGTGAAGGCTCAGTTAGCCCCCCCTCTTGCCCATCAACCCGTGCCCTATGCACCATATCCGGCCGTGTCCCCACCATCGGGTTACCATTCATGTCAAGAAGCTATGAAGGACCCACTTTTCGCGGCCCTTTTCTAAACCCAGCACGTAAATTCTCATCATATGGATATTGCTCAATCGGTACTCTCGCATCCCGCGCCTTTAAGCAGTACTTATGAAGATGCCCCATCATACCACAGAAGTAGCAAAAGTTGTGTAACCTTTCATACTTGAAATTTACCCAACAAGTCATTTTATCCCTCTTCATTAGTTTCATGCGCCGTTTTAGCGGTTTCAAGACCGAGATTGAAACCCTAATCCGGTAAAACGTCTTCCAGGGTGCATTAGCGAATCTATCATCAATCTTGATAAAAACACCCAAAATGTTTCCTACCTGCTCCAAAATAAGATCAGAAGTATAGCCCAACGGCAAGTCATGCACTTGTATCCACATATCAACCGAATCCAACGGCACCAAGACCGGTATCACTCCATCCTAAATTTGCTTGCAAACAAAAGTGTGATTCTCAAAGGACCATGGACCACCATCTAGAACCAACTGAATATCCGTTTCATGAAAGAACACAAAGAGAAAAAGCCCCGGTTGCAATTCCGAGACCCGAACCCCCTTCACCGGTTGCCATACCGAAGCCATGACCTGGCTCATATACTCCGCCTTCACAAGCTTAGTAGTCAAGAACCTACCTACCAGCTGCCATGTTGGGACTGTCTCGGCCGACTGTTCAGCATCCTCCTCCACCGCCGGCACGAAGACATCATCTTCCTCGTCGTCCAAAGTTACGTCCGCCCATCGGCGGCCCAACGCTGCAACAGCCTGCTGCGTTACTGCTGCTTGCTCCGTCCCTTCCATCACTGTAACGCCGGTGTAGAAACCGGAGGAAACACAAGAGAGACGCCGGAAAAAACTTGAGAAACAAGAGAGAGAGAGAGAGAGAGAGAGAGAGAGAGAGAGAGAGAGGAAACCCTAGAAAACCCTAGAGAGAATTTTTTGGTAATATTCGTTCTCTAGCAACTCAGTTATAAAAATGAATTGATATCCTAATTTATTTGTATGGAAAATATATTTTTTTGTCTAGATATATAGCAATTTTGCCATTTAAAAAAATAACATAATATCACAGATTGTATTTACACACTATTGAAACCTCTTTGTAGACAACATGGGTAGTAACAATACAATCTTGTCCATCTCCGTCTAGAGCTAACACCATTTTCAGTCAATTAGAATATTAGATGCATTGATATTTTTACCTAATTTTCGTTCCATTTTTAATTCATAATGAAGACTATTTTTATTGAAATATTTTCGTTCTATTTTTAATTTACCTTTACTATTGTTTAAAATATGCATTTACTATTGATGAGGTAGAATATTATTATTGAAATATTTTCGTCCAATTTTTAATTTCCATTATATTTTTTAATTCAAATGCAATGATCTGTCAAATTCTTTTTTTCATTTTAGTCAATTATGAATCATTTTTTATTTACAGTCAATAATTAATATTCATTTTCTTTTATAATTTCAGTCAATTAGTAATATCAGATTCATTGTCAGACAATTATTCTTTTTTTATTTTCAGTCAATTAGAATATCAATTATTAATATTCATTTCCTTTTCCAATTAACCTAATTTCTGTTTTTTTTTTCATTTTTAATTTGCAGTCAATTATTAATATTCATTTATTTTCCAATTTACCTCATTTTTGTTCCATTTTTAATTGATAATGATGTAGAGAATTATTGTGAAATATTTCTGTTCATTTTTTAATTTACCTTTACTATTTACTATTGTTTGGACGAAAAATCAAGTAAATAGAATTTTGTTTTTAATTATAGTATAGATTTTCCAGCAATCCAAACACTCCCTTAGTATCCCATCAAAAAAACGGATAAAGAAAAGTCACTTAATTAAGGAAATTAAAACTAATTAAAGTAAATCTAATCATTCTATATTTATTTGTAAATGTATATTAATTTCATTTTGAAATCATTAATTCACATATTTGAATTATTTATTTTTTCTTTAATTATTGTAAACAAAAATGATATTGTACTAATTAATTTATGATATTTATCAAATTATATTTTTAAAAATATAGTGTTTTACCCGTGCGTTGCACGAGAATTTTTTTATATTATGAATTTAAAATTAAAAATATAAAACAATGAAAAGATGTTATAATGTACAATATAATAATATAGTTGGACTTTAATATATTTGGTCAAGTATCTATTTTCATAACATACAAAATTAAAATTAAAATTTTGTATAGTTAATATAATCTCTAATCAGGTACATATTTAGATAAATTTATTGATAAAATTCACATAATTAAGTTCATTTATTCCTAATTTTATTTCATATATATTATAATTCTAAACATATGAATACTAACTAAGAGAATTGTACTTAGAAATCAATAAAAAAATGTAAATTCTAAATTTTGTATGAATAAATTTAAACTCTAATCGGACTCATTTCCTTATATGATTGTATAATACATTGTATATACACATAATACTTATTAATATGTATATAGAAAAATTCTATAATATAGTTTCATTAATTATAATTTATATTGATAAAATTATAATTAAAAATTACATTTAGAAATTTAAAAAGTAGCATTTAAATATTGTATGATTATTATAGTGCATAAATGTATGCATATTTTTAGAAAAAATTATAAATATTCATGTTTCATTAATTTTATACTTTCATTTCTTTAATTATATTTCATATTTTATTAATTATAATTTAATTAAATTGCCACAAATATTTATAGGGAAGAAATCTTATATTTCTCAGTTTCAATAATTATATTAATTATAATTACCAAATATTGTGGCAATTACCATAATAATTTCATTAATTATATTAATTATAATATTTGTTCTCTTCTAATATTTAAATACATTATCATAAAATTACCATAATAATTACACGAAAGAAGAAAAGAAAAATTATTAGAATAATTACCATTAATAAAAATTAGAAAATTATATTAAAAATTAATTATATATTAAGGTAAGTATAATTTATTTTATGCCAATAATATTATAAAGTATGAAAATATATATGTATATAAATTACCATAATAGTTACACCGAAAAGTTGACGTGGCAAGTGTCTACAGTCTATCATGACAATTCAATGTGCAGCTATGGTTGCGGCTATTTATCAAGTGTTTCCAACATCACGTCATCGTCTTTGCATATGGCATATTGGTGAGAATTCAAAGAAGCATATCAAGACGTTAAGGAATAAAAAGGATTTCTTGGATATGTTTAACTACGTGTTGAAATACACAAAGATTGAAGCTGAGTTTGAATTTTATTGGACAAGGTATGTTAGTAATTAATGGTTTTTATTGGATTATATTGCATATTTATAGTATAGCAATTATGAATATATATATATATATATATATATATATATATATATATATATATATATATATATATATATATATATATATATATATATAAAGCTTTATGACTATAGGGAGAAGTGGTGTCCAACATTTAACAAGGATTATTTTTCTGGGGGGCATTTTATCGTCACAAAGGACTGAAATTACAAATCATTCAATTTCTAGAAGGCTGTCTAAGACTGCTGGCCTTTGGGATTTCTATTCATCGTTTGTAAGTGTAATTTCTGAATGGAGAAGTACATAGAATGGTGAAGATTTTCGTTGTGCTCAAGGGGTACCCGCTATGATGATGGAGCACGTGAAACTTCTTTCTCATGCTAGAGATGTATATACTATTGAGATATATTTTTTGTTTGATGAACAATTTATGAAAGGCAGTGCTTGTCATCAAGAAATGGTGTTGAATGATGGTTGTTAGCAGAAGTATCCCATGTGGCGGCCAGATATAGACATTATAAGGCATGAAGTTAGTTTTAACCCAGCCAACTTGGACATTTCTTGTAGTTGCAAGTTGATTTCTGAGTTGGGAATTCTATGTTGCCATTGTCTACGTATTCTTCATGTCCATTGTGTTTCTAGTATCCCTGATAAATATATCCTGAAAAGATGGACTAAAAAGTTTATTGGTGGTAGGAATGTGGACATTGCTTCTATGGTTTATAATTTTGGTGTCCCTCCTTCAATTTCGGTTTTTGATATTAGTAGGAAATTTCAAAGATTGATTGTTTCTAGTCAAGATAGTAGTGTAGCTAGACAATTTTGTGATGAAGCTGTTGAGGATGCAAAGAAAAAGGTTGAAGCTACGATTGGGTATGTGCATATTGAAGAGTGGTGTTTCATCTTCAAGTAGTGGTGTACAAAATCCTTCAAGCCGGAGATTGAAAGGTGAGCGTAATAAAAGGAGGAGTAGTGTTATTGAAAATAAGTACATTCTTGCAAGGGGGAGAAGGAGTGTTGCAAATAAAGTTGCTTCGAGTACGAAGGGTGTTGTTCAATCTTTGGTTTTGGAAGGCATATCCAAGCTTGATGGGGATGGATACCTGGTACATCCAAGTTCTTGGAGTTCAGAGTTTGTTCAGTTTAGAAAGGGTTTATATGACAATGTAGGTGTAGACTGAGAGTGTGTTAATACAAGTTGTTATCATTGAACTATATATTCATAATTGTTGAGATATAAACTCATAAGTTTTGCACTATATAATATTCATACTTTGTGCTAATTTTTTGTTCATAT